GTGACTGTAGCTTTTCTTTCCCCAAAACTTTGTCTTCAAAATAAGGGTGCGTCTTATATTCCGAAAAATACGGTATAATCTTTAAACACAGTTATTAAACAAGTATCTCATATACATGCATTGTGACATCACATTACCAATTACTACTAGTTTAATGTGTGTGTGTGTAGGCAACAAATAACAGATTTACAAAACACAGTTATTAAACAACTTGTATTTCATATACGTGCATTGTGACATCACATTACCAATTGCTACTAGTTTAATAAAATATGGGTTATACATAGATATATATACATATATGTGTGTAGGCAACAAATAACAGATTTACAAAACAATTATTAAACAAGTTGTATTTCATGTACCTGCATGGTGACATCACTGTCAATAGTTTATTATTAGATTATAATTTTGTTAAAATTTGTAAAACTGAAACCACCAGATGAAAGGTATTTTTAATTTTCTAGCACAAAGAATACTGGAAACATCAAGAAATCATTACACAACTCAACAACTTGTAATGTTTAGTGCTCATAAACTTACATATCCATATTACAGTATGTAGTGACATTTTATTTTCACTTAAGTTTTTCTATTTTAAACAATTTCCATTTTGACATTCAAAATGTTTTTCTCCAAATGCAACAACAATGCTACTGTAGCAGTGTTGCCAAGTCTCCCAAAAAAAATAAGTGGTACTGCTGTTAAAAACAAACCTAAAACAAGTGGTACTGCTCTTAATAACAAACCTAAAACAAGTGGTACTGCTCTTAATAACAAACCTAAAACAAGTGGTACTGCTCTTAAAAACAAACCTAAAACAAGAGTCACTGCTGTTAAAAATAAACCTAAAACAAGAGTCACTGCTGTTAAAAATAAACCTAGAACAAGAGTAACTGCTGTTAAAAATAAACCTGGAACAAGAGTAACTGCTGTTAAAAAGAAACCTAAAACAAGAGTCAGTGCTGTTAAAAATAAATTTAAAACAAGAGTCACTGCTGTTAAAAATAAATTTAAAACAAGAGTCACTGCTGTTAAAAATAAACCTAGAACAAAAGTAACTGCTGTTAAAAAGAAACCTAAAACAAGAGTCAGTGCTGTTAAAAAACAAACCTAAAACAAGAGGCACTGACTTTCAAAACTACTCTTTTTCATGGCTTCACCTCAAAATGGCCATTTATGCACCTTTATTGGAATATATATCAAATGGATGGGCCAGAAATATCATGGTTGTAGTTTTGTTTTTTAATTGAACAGGAGAGAGGATAGGATGATTCTAAAACTGTAATGATGTGTAGGCTATTTTACTGATCTAATCAATCATCGAAAACCACTCCTACAACAACAAAATAAGCCCAGAAAACTGTATCCAGCAACTCTAAGAATTAAAGTGACTCAAGTAGAATTGACAACACTGTACTATAGATCATGTACAAGTGACCATCCAATGATATCGGGAACTTTATGGTTAACATACAGAAAATGTTAAGATTGGTTGAAAGTGCTGTTACAACAAGACATAGTTCGTTTGTTAAGATTGTTAAAAATTTAAGAAATTATCTTTACAATAAATATACTGCATCTTATGTGACCACATGGAAAAAATTCACCATTTGTAAAGGTTATGCAGTGTGATATATTACATCAATGTAATGTAAGTAATTAGATGAATATAATTGGAAATAATTTGTTAAAATGGTCCTTATATAATACCTACATGTACCAAATTAGGCACAAAGGCCTAGCTCACGGACATTAAAAAAACAACATTTTTTTGTGTTACTACGTAATTTTGGAATTTGTCAGAAAATCTGTCTAAATGAAGCAGGAATGTATCTAATAGCTAGCCAAGTTGCTAAAGTGTTTTGATACCCAGCTTAAGAACTAACTGGTGCACCGTAACAAGATAGTGATCACTAAAACTCCCACCAAATTTTGGCTGGACATACTTTACAGCAGTGGTTATCAAACTGTTCACAATTTATGCCACGTATGTGACCCTCCAATAGTTACATATGCCACACATACTTGTCATTTTATGACACAAGTGTATGTTTGTCAGAAATATAATATTCAAAAAACTTCCTCAGTTAAGTAACAGAAATACATAAATAAGGAAATGAAGGCCAAGTTCAGATTATATGTGGTGAAATGTGCATTGCAGTTCAGGAAGTGCATTAGAAGGTTACTATAGCCCAACTGAGTTGACTTTCTACATGTATGGAGAAACTCGCCCAATAATAAAATCTCTGCTCCAATTAAACTTTTTGTGAAAGTAAAACTAAATGGATAGTGTTATAATGTTGATATAACTTGATGAGATTTGTGCACGTTCATCCAATGTAGCTGCCATATGTTTAGACGATATTTGATTTGCAGTTACAATTAAACATACATATTAGTTTGGATGGTGCTGTATCTTTGTCATTAAAGACTGAAGTAAACCATTTATGTGTATTAGGTGGTAAAGAATAACTTTTATTTGTACAAATGTTACTTCCCGTGGTAACAATAATGCACATGGTCAAAGGTCAGCTTATGTTGAAAAGTTCTTAATGAAAAATATCCCAGTGGCTTAGCATTGAAATAAATATACAGCTGTTAGTGTTTTTTTTTACTTTCAATGAAAAAAGTGTATAACGAGTAAAAATCATGTCTCTCAATACTTTCAGTTCTCCCTGCTATTCCCAGTAAATCCTATGAAGATGAATAAACCGATATTTTATGTCAAACTTTTGCTGTAGATTGTACACTTTGAAAACCATAAATATCTCCAAACATTAATTCTGAAGCTATTTTTCATAACTCTCTCTGTTAATGTCCCACATAATAATTGAATTCAAGATGTAGAATTTGTGTACCTCCAGAAAAACACCACTTGATTGTCCTGCTTTTGTTCAATTTTTAATATATTGTATGTTGTAGATAAGTTACGACTTATAAATAAAAATGTGGCAAACCTTCTCTTATAATTTCTTCCTATATTTGTGATATTTTTGGTTATTTATACTGAACTATAGTACTTAAATTATTTATGCACAAGACCTATTTAGTTAAGGAATAATATTGAATTTTGACCAGTAAAGTACATATAATATTTTCAAGTATAGTAAGTCCACTTCATTTAAAAGGTAAAGTATATTTATTACAATAGAAATTTTACTATCCACTGTTGTATAACCAGTGTGTATTTTAATAAATTTCATACTTGAGTATTTAAGTTTTTTTTTTCAGCCACTTAGAACATCTCTAAGTGTTGTCAAAATCAAATTACCTACTTATCTTGTGGAAATATAAATGTAAATACACCTGTGTAAAGCATTTTCATGTACAGTCTTGGGTATTTTTCTTTTCATATTTATATTATTAACAGTCAATTTACTAGCACCTAAACCATTACTGGCAATAATAACAATGCATCAGGAATTTCACGTACCCAAAAAAAGCTTCTATTAGTTACACTGTGATTTCACTTAATCAGTTCAACTAAAAATCTATAAACTTCACATGCAACCTAGATTTTTTGACTAAAAATGTTTAGCCCTTTAAAAGAAACGACAAAACATTCAATCATTTTATAGCACAATTTTCAAATACACCCTAGTAAACAACATACTTCTCTTTAATGTGTATTTTCTTTTGTTTTTATCACTATTCATCATCATACTAATGAAAATTATTGGGATCAAAAAGCACCATTTTAAAAACACTGGTATACTCAGTGTTTTCTTGCTTTGTTTGAAAATAATATTAACAATCATATATATATATGAATACTTGTGAAACAGAATTTTTACCTTATAATACTTTATTGTGTTCAGTAAGTGGTTGTATATTTTGTAACTTTACTAATGTATAGTCACTAATATTTGGAATTAAATCCACAACGTTTTGTAGATTCTGTCAATGTTTACAGCTTGTCAAACACATCTACATAGTCTCCTGATTTAAACTTCCCTTCCTCCAGAATAGTAAACAGTCGAGCCACTGTAGTTTCACATTTCAAAAGTTTTCCTTCATTGGAAACTTCTGAAAATTAAATGATAAAAAACTGTGATATTATATTTAGGATACATTAAACTAATAGGTGAAAATTTAATAAAGAAAAACACAGGAAACAATAATGGTAATAAATGAATGAAATGGTATTTTTTAATATATTTTTCGTTTAGTGCATAACCAAAATTATCACAATGATAGAAAGAATCGAAAACACAGTGAATTGTACATTTACTATTTCAGAAAATATCAACAAAACTTGGTGTAATTTAAATAAGTGTTAAGGAATAACATTTAAATAGTTATTCCCAGGCATATTCACTGAAAGAAACAAAACTACAATTAAAGAGTATGCTCCTAAAAATTTCATTCAAAAATAACGAATATATAAACAAAACAGTTTTTCATGTTGATCAAAATTATAATTCTTATGTACTTATCATGAACTTCTGATCATTGCAGAATATTTACAAAAATCAGAATTAAAGTTAACCCTATACTGAATACAACTAACTTAATATACCACTTTTACTTATACTCATTAAAATGCACTGATTATCAGTTCAATGCTCTCACTGTTAGCGATTTCTATAACATAAACCCAATAATATCTCACAAGGTTTGGCCAGCTTAGGAGATTTAGATTAGATTTAAATCCATACTGGACAACATTTTGAGCAAACACTCTTTGCCAAGTCTTAGTTAATCATGACTTAATAAAAAGCACATACTTGAAACATTGCCTAATAAAAGTTGGTTACTTTGATGATATTATTCTACTTATTTCATTTTTTCTCATAACAGGAATAAATTATAAAAAAAATTAGCGGTGCTGCAGAACTGCAATAAAACTTTAATGCTATATATATATATATATATATATACACGCATACATATATAAACCTCAATGATAAATATACATTTTGAATTTATTTTTCAACAAAAAAGTTTCTGTTGTCACTAAGTCATCAATATTGTCCATTTTACCATCATGATTACTATGTACATATACAAAATCATACTTGTTACACAGACATATGTACATATATAAACATGTGTGTGTATGTTGTTGCCCTCCCTCCCATGCTTATGCCATCCATTTATCTAATTTTAATCTGGCCTCGTTGTATGTCTCCTTGGCCCCCAGTTAAGAAAAGCTGGAGCCAGGGTAATAGCTTACAGTACTGTCACTCAGTATATGAATGAGAATAAGGCAAAATTATTAGTATGAAAAGTTTGAAATCAATTTTGTATGCACCACAACATTTTCTTGGTTTAAAAACAGAAATAATTATCATACATATATATAGACACATTCATGAAACATATCAGATAAAATAAAACAAATTTATTGTTGTAATGTTGTTCCTTTGTTGGCAGGTTCTTTAAATTTTCTGGTTAAAATAATCTTTATCTTCTTCTTTAATATTTCTACAAGCCTAAACACTGTGATAAGTTTTAGGCCAAGTTTACTGATAACTGTACTACAATAACAAAAAAAACTCAAAGTAATTCAATGTGCAAGATAGCTAATGTAAGTCCAAATACTTCAATAAAAACCAAAGTGACTGATTCATTCTATGGACTAGATACAACTCTATCTTCTTAATTATCTCCAAACCTAATCTTTGAATTTCCTAGAAAACTTGACATGAAATCTTTAAAACTTTCTAGTCCTATATTATTAAATCTTTCAATCTTAACATCAGCATTACAACCCACAGTTCCCTCTAGCTAACAAATAAGTTACAGCATTAAAAAAGATATAGCTTACAACAACATATACATACATTTACTTATATATATATATATATGTATATATATATATATACATATCACACCAGACCCAAATACAGAAGCTATGCCCACAGAAAACTAATAACAATAATGTCAACGTAGTAATCTTACCACCACTATCAGTGAACTAAATATGTACATGTAAATCAATAAGAAAAAAAATTACCACACTGTTTACTATCTTTAATTTCTGAAGTATGTTGATGATCAACTATAAGTGAGATTATTCTGTAATTCTATTTCTTTATTAATGTTCTTACAATGTCTTTGAATGAGCCTTTTCCTCATCTTAATTTTGAAGACTGATGAACGTACATAACACTTACTCTGCATGAAAGCTCCGACTTCTGGTAAAGCATTTTCAAGTATTTCTTTCATCATTTCTGTGTCTAATGGTCCTGGGCCATAACTAATAATGCTCAAGCTAGGGTCTTCCTGAGCCAGAACTTTGAAGTACATGTTTCTGGCAGCCTTTCCTACAGTGTGGAAAAAAAAGTATGTGAATGGGTAGCACAATTCAAAGTATATAAATAATTTAGCTTAAATATAGAATTAAAAACAAAAAGACAAGAATATTAATTCATTGACTTGTAAATGATGGAAAACATAGCGTTAATTAAATGTTTTGTAAGAAAGGTCATACCATGCAAATCACGATGTAAAAGCTCAACAACAACATTGTATTTTTCAACACAGATGATATAAACTTAAAGTGTTCTAAAGGAAATGTTTTGTATATGTTTGTACCAACTAACACAATTATACACAATGGTATAATTAATTGACAGAAATCAACCATATGATCTTACATATTATATTATCAAGATTCAACCATGAAACAATCAACAAGCCTTATTTTAAATGCTTGTGTATCTAAAACTTAAACTGGAATTTGCACTTACTATGTAAAAGAAAAACTTGCATATTATACTGGATCCAATTAGGGACTCTCAAAAAATTCTGTTTTATGCCATTTAGATTAACTTCAGAATTAGATTTTTAATCATTATGACATGCGAGTCAAGCCCTGGTGTTTTTACCGTTAATACATGCACCATTTTAAAATGTGGTCATTCATGCATAATTGCAAGGTTAGAAGATATCAATAATACATGTACAATTTTCTGTTAACTCAAAATTATTTCATCATGAGGTACAATACTCTCCAATGGGAATAATGCATGTTTAAAATTTTTGCAACAAACAAACTATATTTGTGAAACAAATAGTAATGTAAAGTTTTGTTTGTTTTATATTGTTCACTTAAATATATTATACCTACTGTTATGAAAAATTTAACTATAGGTGTTTTTCTTCTTCCACATTCCAGTTAACTTGTCTTATAACAATTTTAAGGTCTATTGACTTTTCAATATCTTGTCAGTTTTGGCCTTTAAACCATAACTTTTTGTAACTATGTAGTTATTGGTAATAAAATATTAACAAAAGCAACTTAAAATGTCATTGCCTAATTCAAAATGGAACAAATAAAGAACTATTTGGTCCATTTTTCAAAGTAATTCAAAATTTGCTTAGAAATGTATTTTTAAAACTCAACATAAATGCACTGTTTGTTAAAATATGAGACTAATGATCAGATGCTACGAATTGCTTATTTATATATAAATATATTTTTTAGACAAAATATTTGCTGAAAAATTTGACTTCTATACAGGTATATATGTGGCAGGTTTTAATGTTCTTATCCTTATTCTAAAATCTCAGCACAACAGTCATACTTGTAATACCCTTTCCCCTACTTGTATTCTAGCCGAAGGCTCAGAATTAAATTTTGAATATGTAAATTATCATTATTTTTAAAGAATGTATTTTCAACTGAAAAAATATTTTATTATAAGATACAATATGTAGATTTCTTTTATAATGATCACAACTCTTGTGTTCATGGGTCTTATAGTGTACTCAATAGCAAAAATTTTCACTTTGGAAAAGTTTATATGTACATGCTAAAGACACAGTAATGGCAATATGATCTGAACTTAGATATTATTTATAATAAAAGAAATACATAGTGGTTTTTAACTTAGTCCGTTATTAAACAATTTTTTTGAATGTGTTATATTGTTATTAAATCATTGAATGATAACTATGATTCATATTTTTAAATTTTCTTTTGCTCCGTCTTTATAAAATTAATACATAATTGCATCCTGTTTTAGAAATTACCTTAAATAAACTTACCTGAACAATAAAGACTCCATCCATCAATTGCCTTTTGTGATGCTAAAGAAGAAATGTGAATTATGTGCCGAAATTTAATGTTATCTTTAAGAATCTTTTCAAGAAAAACTGAGGTTAAAATTACAGCCGAGTTAAAATTTAGGTTAAAATATCTCGTTATTTCGTCACCATCTTTAAACATGGAAGCTTTCCGGGATATATCACCAATGGTACCAGCATTATGAATCAAAAATGCTTGATCAATTTTTACTGGGCAACTTTCCACAAACTGACATACTTTGGCCAAAAGCTGTTCTACCTGTGTTGCAGAAACTGTAGTCAGGTCCATTGGTATTGTTATTACTTGTGTTTCTTTATCACATTCTTCAATTAGTTGCTTTGTTCCTTTTAATCCTTCTTCACTTCGAGCGATCAATGCGATAATCGAATTTCGTGGTAATTTCTTGGTTAAGCTTAGACTAAGTACTCTACCTAATCCTCGACTTGCGCCGGTAATTACACAGAGGGAAGGAATCTCCCAATTCACTTTTGTTGCGTTCATTTTCTGCAGAATATTCAGGATATGTACTTCTGAATATTAAACTAACAGTAACAGTTACTGACAATTATGCTGTAGAAAACTTGAAGGATTATTGATCAGTTTTATAGGGGCACAGATAACTTGTTTATCTTTGCCTATCGTCAAATATCAAGGTAACGCTAGAATTGCTTCAGCAGAGTGCTCAAACATTTATGATTTAGACCTCATTCAAGGACATCATCGGTTAATACCGAGAGTCAGGTTTATTAATATTCGTAAAGCTACCGGTTTAATAAAAACTGAACAACCGAGAAAAGCACTTATCAACGACTCCGGGTAGTGAACAAGCTGAAATGAACTTGAGCTCTAGCTTCCGAGATCTTATCATCTGAATCCCCCTTCATCCTCAGGTCTTTCTCGTGTTTAATTCTTGTATTTATTAATTCCTTACCCCATTTTTTCAGTGTTTTTTTAAAGAAACGTTGTTAGAGTTTTATTTTATAATTCTTTTTTGCTTTTTTAAAATGTTTGATTTTCATAAAGTTTATTATTTTTGAAAAAAGGAAACATTTTTAGGAAAAAAATCAATTTTCCATTCATTAGTCTTTGAAACAAATAAAGTATGATCTTCTTTTCTTTCTCTCTCTCTCTTTCTTTCTTGTTTCGTACTTCACTGGTGAAGTTTTGGAGCTTTCGAACGTTTTACAAATAGCTATAATGCTGTTATAAACTGTAGCAACTCACGTCTCTGTTCGTTTGTTAATTTTCATTAAAAAATCTTTCCGAAGAAACTTTAGCGATACAAGTCCTTTCTTAAATAAAACTAGTTTATTCTCTCTCAATACAACTTTGCAATATACTTAATTTCCACAATCAGTTTAACTTAAACAAACGCTATAATTCACAACGAACGATTCACGCACTACCGCGCTTGACTCAACTGTCCGTCTCTATCTCTGTCTGCCATTCAATTCCCGCACATCTAGTAAACACTCGAGCATTCACGAACCTTCGAGAATATCATGACGTGTTGCTAGCGTCAAGTGACTTCCGCTGTCGTAACAATATTGTAAATTTTGTACATTTTTCAAAAATTCTCAGTGCAATTTAAAATATTTTACTGGCAGCCCTGAACGCCTTGACCTGGTTTCGAGAAATTGTGTTTGGTTTCCCTGTCAGAAATACACAGTCTTGTTTAGGAATATAAATCAGGAAGCTACAACTGTAGCTTCGCACTATTAGTGGAAAGAGTAGCTGTTGACATTGCTGGTCCTTTGCCCCAAACTCGTGCTGGAAACAGGTACATTTGGGTGGTGATGGATTATTTCATCAAGTGGCCTGAGGCATATACAATACCAAATCAGGAAGCTACAACTATAACTTTGGCTATTAGTGATTTCTTCTTCAGATTTGGTAT